TTCTTCCAGTGTGGGCAGACAAACTCATCAGACTCTGATCTCCAATTAACCAATGAGCAAAAAGCCAGAAGTGGGGATGTGGCTCAACTGGTAGACCACTAGCCTTGAACCACAGGGAAGCTCAGGGACAGTGCTCAGGTCCTGAATTCAAGCCCCAGGACTGGCAAAAAAAAAAACAAAAAAAAAAAACAAACGGAAATGACTGCCTAAACACTTCAATCCCCAGAAATTATTGGTGTAGCTAATTATAGCGCATTCAGTGAAATAAAACTTCATGACACAAGTTTGTCGCTGTGACTTCCTGTAAAACTGAAGTCATCGAACGATTGGCGATTTTGCAGACAGAGCAGTCCTCTGGGGAGTCCTTGGACCTCTCTGGCCTCCAGACAGGACTCCAAGGTATGGGCGGAGGGGTTGGCTCAACTCCCAGGGCCCTGGGGACCCCCAGGCCGTGATCAGCTGTGCACGCGTCTGGTTTGAGATAGGAGATTCTCATGTAAGAGACCACCCTTGCTCCCCCGCTAACCTCCTCTTTCCCACATCAAGGTGTCCAAGGAAACCGTTCCTAGGGTGTTGAGGGTGGGGCAGAGCCAGCAGGGCTTCGCTCAGTTACCACAGTGTTTGCAGTGCCCTTGGCAGCCCAGATTTTGTTTAGCAGCGTGGCCCACGTGGGCTCAGGCTCCTGCTGAGCTGTCGGTGCTGTGAGGTGCAGAACAAATCTCATCCCTGGCTTCATGACACTCAGATCTCCCTAGAAAATGGATATGAAGAGCCCATCAAGACTATATTCTTCTTTTATTTTTCTGTCAGTCATGAGCCTGAACTCTGGGCCTGGGCACTGTCCTTCAGCTCTTCAGCTCAAGGCTAGCGCTCTACCACTTGAGCCACAGCGCCACTTCTGGCTTTTTCTGCTTATGTAGTGCTGAGGAATCGAACCCAGGGCCTCATGCATGCAAGGCAAGTACTCTACCACTGAGCCACCTTCCCAGCCCCAAGATTATATTCTTAAACCAGGCACTGGTGGCTGACACCTGTAATCCTAGCTACTCAGGAGGTTGAGATCTGAGGATCATGGTTCAAAGCCAGCCTGGGAAGGAAAGTCCATGAGACTTTTATCTCCAATAAACCATTAGAAAACCAGAAGTGGGCTGTGGCTCAAAGTGGTGGAGCGCTCATCTTGAGCTAAAAAGCTGAAGGACAGCGCCCAGGCCCAGAGTTCAAGCCCCACGACCGACAACAACCACAACAAAAGGTTCTTTTCTTTTCTTTTTGTTGCCGGTCGTGGGACCTGAACTCTGGGCCTGGGCGCTGTCCCTCAGCTCTTCAGCTCAAGGCTAGCGCTCTACCACTTGAGCCACAGCGCCACTTCTGGCTTTTTTCTGCTTATGTGGTGCTGAGGAATCGAACCCAGGGCCTCATGCATGCAAGGCAAGCACTCTACTACTGAGCCACCTTCCCAGCCTCAAAAGATTATTTTCTTAGGCAGGGCGCTGGTGCCTCAAATCTGTAATCCTAGCTACTCAGGAGGCTGAGATGAGAGGACTGTAGTTTGAAGCCAGCCAGGGAAGGAATGTCTGTGAGACTCATCTCCAATGAACCACCAAAAAGCCAGTAGTGGAGCTGTGGCTCAAGTGGTAGAGTACTTACTTCAAGTTCAAACCAGGACTGTCACACCCACATATACAAAAAAAAAATTATATTCTTGAGCTGGACACATAGTTGGTGTGGTAACCACCTAGCACCTCAAGGTCCTGGGGTTGATCCCTAGAACAACAATAGCAACAACAAGAACAGACTACATTCTTCCAGTGTGGGCAGACAAACTCATCAGACTCTGATCTCCAATTAACCAATGAGCAAAAAGCCAGAAGTGGGGATGTGGCTCAACTGGTAGAGCACCAGCCTTGAGTGAAAGAGCTCAGAGCAAGAACACAAGGCCCTGAGTTCAAGTCCCAGTACTGGCACTAAAAAAAAAAAAAAAAAGTTAAGCCAGGCATAGTGGTTTGGGTCTGCAATCATAGTTAATTGGGAGACAGATTAGGAGGATCATGGTTCCAGGCTAGCCCAAGCGAAAAAGCTCTCGAGACTCCACAGAAAAAGCTGGGCGTCTTCCGGATGACATGCACCTATCATCTTAGCTCCTGTGGGACGTGTAAATAGGAGGACTGGGGTCTAAGCTAGCCTGGGCAAAAGGCAAGACCTCGAGCAAAAAGGAGCTAGAGGTGTGACTTAAGTGGTAGAGCACCTGGCTCACAAGCACAAAGCCCTGAGTTCATATCCCAGAATCGGAGAGGAAAAAAAAAAGTTAATGTGACACAGAGGCACAGGTGTTAGGTGACAGTCCTGAAGTTCTCTGCAGCCCAATAGTAGCACGGGGTCTGCAGGCCCAAGGAGCAGGGGCCAGCGTTGGGGAAGGATGCAACCCTGGTCTTGGCATCCAATGCCAATACTGGTCAGAGGTGAGTCTCCAGACCCACTGCCAAAGGACAGCAGTGCCGTTTCCCTCCATCTCCACCAGCCGGAAGTCTGCTAGAGACACAGGAAGAAAACCTGGTCATGCTTCTGTGTGTGTGTGTGTGTGTGTGCGTGCGGGCTTGAACTCAGGGCCTGGGCACTGTCCCTCAGCACTCTACCACTTGAGCCACAGCTCCACTTCTGGCCTTATGGTGAGTAACTGGAGAAAAAAGTTTCACAGACTTTCCCCTCTAGGCTGACTTCAAACTGTGATGCTCAGATCTCAGCCTCCAGAGTAGCTGGGATGACAGGTGTGAGCCTCCAGCGCCAGCTCTGACCTGTGTCTCTGTCCCTCCTTCACCAGAAGGTACCAATATGTAGAGAAGATTGAAGAAAGGCTTCAGAAGTGGTTACGGAAGGCCGTGTTCCAGGCGTCCACCCAGGGATGGCGGACAAACCAGGCCGAGGTGGAACAAGAGACCACTGCCCTGGACACCCAGCCCGGGCCCACAGGCCACAGCGCTGGGGCGAGCAGGAGCGCAGGGAGCAGCCCAGCACCCAGGCAGGAGCAGGACACCATGCCCAGAGCCACGGAACACACGCAGGCACCAAAAGGTCAGGACAAGGAGACTCGCGGAAGAAGGGTGAGCCAGCAGGACAAGGCAGAGCCGCCAGCCCTCACAGGGAACATCACAGCAGCAACACCGAGGGAGGAGGCTGGGATCCCAGCCACCCCGCCCCCGCCCCCACCCCGAAATGCCACCACCCCGAGACGCCAGATGCTGAAGGCCGCCAACTTCAAGTCTGAGCCTCGGTGGGATTTTGAGGAGGAGTACAGGTTGGACGTGGGGGGCCTGCAGACGGTGAGTTTGTGCCCCGCCTGCAGCTGCCCTTCCAAAGGCAGCCGCCTAGCAACGCCAGGCCAGAGAGGGAGGAGGAGGGTCAGCCTAGAACCCTGAGCTGCACCGCACAGCGTGTGAATGGAAGGCACTAGCATTTCCCATAGCCCTTGAAAGGGTGACACTGTGGCCAGTGTGTGTGTGTGTGTGTGTGTGTGTGTGTGTGTGTTGCCATACCTCCACTTACAGATTTTTGGAGAGAAGAGTCTCCCAGATTCGTCTGCCCACGCTGGCTTTGCACAGTGGTTCTCAGATCTCAGGCCTCTGATAGCTAGGATTACAGATCTGAGCCCCCGGTGCCCAGCTCTACTCTGTGTCTTGACAACACACATCTTTATCCTTTGGCGGGAGAGAGCCAGGGACCCACAAAGACCCAGGAAGTACTCCACGTTCTGGAAAGCCTACTCTCAACCCTGCACTCTCCTTCCTGCCCCAAGGAAACTGCCCCGCCCTCTTGCCACCTTGCCCAGAGAGGGGCAAGATGCATCCGCACACACAGACTTGGCACTCGCACCCACTCCCAGGGGTGCCCCTCCCTGGAGGACGGAGTGCATCACACTGCCCACGGCCACCGTGGTCCCGAGGGAGGGGCAAGTCCCAGAGCTCCGGATAATGGGGTAGAACAGGAAGCAGAGAACTGAGCACTATGGCTTAACCTGTAATCCTAGCTACTCGGGAGGCTGAGATCTGAGGATCCAGGTTGGAGACCAGTCTGGGCAGGAAAATCCGCGAGACTCTTATCTCCAATTAACCAAAAACCCCAAAGTGGATCTGTGGTTCAAGTGGTAGAGAACTAGCCTCGAGCGAAAAAGCTCAGGAATAGCGCCCAGGCCTTGAGTTCAAGCCCCAGGACTGGCACAAAAGAAAAAAGAAAAGAAAGGAAGAGAGGAAGAGAAAGAAAAGAAAGAGAGGAAGCAAGGAAGAAAGGAGGGAGGGAGGAAGAAAGAGAAAGAGCAGAAGGAAGAAAGAAAAAAGGGAAAGGAAGAAAAGAAAGGGAAAGAAAGGAAGGAAAGACAAAGAAAGAAGAAAGAGATGAAGAAGGTAGGAGAAAGGATGAATGAAAGAGGGACAGGAATGAAAGAGAAAAAAGGAGAGAGGAAGAGAGGAAGAAGAAAGAAAAGGAAGGAAGAGGAAAGGGAAGGAAGGAGAAAAAGGAAGAGAGAAAGGAAGGGAGGGAGAGAGAGGAAGGAAGGAGAAAAAAGAAAAATGGAAGGAAGGGAGGGAGGGAGGGGAGGGAGGAAGGGAGGGAGGGTAGGAAGGGAAGGAGGGGGAAAGGAAGGAAGAGAGAAAAGAAGGAAAGGAAAAGAAAAAGGAAAGGAAGGAAGGAAAGAAGGAGAAACAAATGGAAAGGAAGAAAGGAAAGAACAAGGAGGAAGGAAGGAAAGAAGGAGGGAGGGAAGGAGGAAGGAAGGGAGGAAGGGAGGGATGGATGGAGAGAGGGACAGAGGGAGGGAGGGACAGAGGGGGGAGGGAGGAGGGAAGAGAGGGGAGGGAGGAAGGAGAGAAGGAAGGAAGGAAGGAAGGAAGCAGGGAGGCAGGGAGGGGGGGAGGCTGGGTTAGAACCTTCCAACCTGCAGGGCCCACGGGACTCCGGCACAGAGTCCTCCCTGGGCCTCTCCCTGCCTGACCCCTCCTCTGTCTTGCTGCCCTTCAGAAGTGCCCTGACTCTTTGAAGGTCAAAGCCTCCAAGTCTGGGTGGCTGGGGAAGCTCTTCCTGCCCAGCCCCCTTCTCTTCCTGGACTCCACCTGCTTCAGCCCGAGCGAGTGGGATCGGCTGGAGCACTTTGCGCCCCCCTTCGGCTTCATGGAGCTCAATCACTCGTGTGAGTGGAGGGGAGGGGGGAGCCCCCACCCCGGGGGATGTGCAGGGCCGGCCTCCTGTCCCTTTCAGGGCTCTGAATGGCCCCCCTTTCCCCAGTGGTGCGCAAGGTGGTCACACGCTTTCCCCCAGTGCCCCAGCAGCAGCTGCTCCTGGCCGGCCTCCCTCCAGGCGGCCCCCGGTGCATCTCCTGCGCCGTGGTGGGCAACGGGGGCATCCTGAACAACTCCCGCAGGGGCGCGGAGATAGACGGCCATGACTACGTGTTCCGGTAAGTTGGGCCGGTGGCTGCCGGCTGCCCGGGGGCACCGTCTGCTCCTGCACCTGCCGGAGATGCTAACATTGAGCTCCCGTCTCCACACTTTTTTCCTATCATCGCCCTAATAATACTTTCCCTTTTGGGGAGACGGGCAGGGGCAGTTCTAGGCGCAGGAGCCCCGACCTCAGTGTTAACACTATGCTCACCTTTGGTCCTCAGCTCCACCCACACCTGGGCCCCCTCCCATTCCTGGCGTTCCACCTGCAGCTGGCCCCTCCCTCTCTCCGCCCAGACCCACCTGGGCTCCCATCCACCTCACTTCTGACCCTCAGACCCTCCAGCTAGCTGGATGGGGACGGAGGCCATGAGCTCCCTCTTGGGGGAAATATGGCTCCTCTAATAAACCTTATAATAATCTTTCTCCTGTGCCTGCCTGCCTCGGCATGGCCCCCTGGGATGGATGTGTGGGACCCTCCTTCACTGGTGGCCCATACGGGATCGAACCCGCGACCCCGGTGTTATCACCTCCTTCACGCAGGTCCCAGGCGCTGTCTCTGAGCTTTTTTTTTGCTCCAGGCTGGTCTTCAACCATTTGAGCTGCAGCTCCACTTCTCTTTTTTTT